AAGAGAAGAAAGGTTGTTTGTAAGGTTCTTAGAAGAAAACACACTCTCAACTGAGCGCCTAGTGAGGCAATGTTTTGATGGATTAAAGTCCATCATGACTCAAATGACCCCACCTCCACAGGGAAGATCTCCAGTTCCTCCCTACCCTCAGCATCAATACCCAGGTCAAAGCCGGTCTGCTCAATTTCCTCAGAACCCAAGCTACAACTCGGATTACCACCTCCATGACCTAAACTAAAGTTTAAAAAAAGTTTGTTATTTGAGCAGCAGCTAAAGTTTCATATTATATATATATAGATATTTTTTGATATTGTAATTCTGAAAGTACAGGATGAGTTGATAAAGAAGTTACTGTTGAATTGCACGTTACTGTAGTTTTAAATGACCAAAGAATGTTTTTTTCTGTTTTCATTACAAGATGTGATGATCTGTGCACATTGTCTGTTTTGCACAAACTTTTTGAATGTATAATTTTTATGTTTTTGTGATGTAGGCTACCTCAAATTGCACTGAGAATGAAACACATTTCACACAGTGCCAACAAGCAATATAAAATGTTTACAAGAATTTATTAAAATGTTTGGTCCATTAAAGAGCTCCGATGTACACTAGTATTATTTGCCGTTTTGTTATAATATCTTTATACAAATGTTAGCTGCATCTGAACACATACATGACAAGTATATATTGTATATTTAAAAAGCCCCTTTAATGCAGATGGCCTGTACGGAGTGGAAACTTGGACATATATGCAGTCAGTGCCTCTCTTGCACCGTTTCCACCAACACTACACTGAAGATTCACTGGCTGGTTAGGCTGAGGGTAGTTGTTTGCACGGTCACGTGCCTCTTCCAACCAGTTGCTGTTGCCATAATCCCTCTCCCTCTGGCAGAAGTTGTGGAGTGCACAACAGGTGGCGATCATTTTTGGAGCAAAGGTGAAATGAAAGTCACTTCTTTTTAGAAGAACTCTCCACCGTGACTTCAGCAACCCGAAGGTCATCTCTACGCCCACCCTGACTGAGCTAAGGTAAACATTAAATGACTCTTGTTGAGGAGTCAGACGAGGAGAGTTTGGGTATCCTTTGATGAGCCAGTCCAACAGCGGGTATGCAGGGTCACCAACAACGAGGAGACTGACGTCCTTTCCTTCGATGTTCCTCACAGACCGCAAAAAAAGGACATACTAATATTTAGTATTTTACTTAGACATTGTTTAAAGGCATGGTTCAAACAAACTTTTTTTTTTAAATAAAACTTTACAGCTATGTATCTCTACTTTGAGAACCTTAGCTGTAATAGTTGTAGTAATACTAAATACAATATAGCAAATATTGGCAACATTTAACCATTTGTTTAAAGGCATGCTTCTAACAAACATTAAAAAAAATAATTTTACAGCTAAGTATCTCTACTTTATAGTTTATAGTTGTAGAAATAATAAATACAATATAGTAAATATTAGCCTTACTTTTGGCATTAGATGAGCCCTTTGATAGAGGTCAGAGTGGTGCAGGACATTGGCATCATGGGCACTGCCTGGCATCTTGCAACTGATGCTCCAGAAACTGAGAAAAACAGAGGAAGAACAGTAATTAATAATAAATACAGACAGTATCAAGCATAGACAGGTAGAAAAAGAAAGAAAAACAAGTTTATTTAAGCATACAGCGTGTATTTGTCTTACCAGCAGTTGTTCACAACAGCTTGGAGGACATAGGATGGCCAGCCTTTACGGTAAACAAAGTCTTTATATCCATCAGAGGGGGGAAGAACCGGGATGTGTGATCCATCGATGAGACCCATAATATGAGGGATGTGATGGGAAGCCTCAAAAGCTCTGGCGATCTCCAGTGCCTCCATGTCAGTTGGTGCTCGGATCAGCTGTTTAATTGGCCCTCTCACCATGCTTTTACAAAACATGTACACACAATTTTTAACACTGCTCTTACTTATTCCAAATTGATTTGCAATGACTCGCTATTCGGCACAGCTGCCCAGTTTATACAGAACAACTGCAACTCGCATCATGAGCGGAATTGGAGTTCTAACAGTCACCTCTTCTGGGGCTAAATGACTCTCCATCAAAGTGCACAACTTTGTGAAAGACAGATGTGTCATGCGAAAATTCTGCTTCCACTCCTGGTCGGTGAACTGCATGAGGACCACACGCTCCCACCAGTCTTTACTTCGAACTTTCATCCACTGGTTTCTGGTCGTTTGTGGAGGTAGTGGCAGCAGCATTAAACTTGCCGGCAGCAAAGAACTTTCTCGGATGTATTTTTCCTTCCGCGCTCTCATCCTACGAAGAAAAAAGACTAAAAGCATGCGTTGCTTCGCCTGTAGCTCAAGCAGGGAGTGCAGTAACAACTCCATCACAGTCATTAAAACCTGTCGCGGGTCCATTTTTGTCGCTCAAGTGTGTTTACGTTCGTCCCGGAAAGAGAACTTCTTCTTCTATGGTTTACACGGAAGTAACTTCTTCTTCGGTGGTTTTTTAAGGAGAGTTTACCACTCTGCGCATGTCAGTACTTCTGTTCAGAATCAAAGCCCGTTGCATGTAAACGCACATCGTGAACGGATTGTGCCCATGTAAACGATACATTTGAATTATTCAAACAGAACACATTTCAATCCGGTCAAAGAATTCTGCGCATGTAAACATAGCTACTGAGAAGGAAGAGGCTCAGAAAGTGTCTCATCCCTCCTTATTTATTGTGAGATTGCTGCCTGGGGACACATGGATGTGTTCATCACACAATGTTGTTTTGACTGAAGCCCAAAGTTTTTTTGCCAATATAAAGTAGTCCCACGTTTATCATGGGGTTTAGTGGATCACGTCCCCATGATAAGTGAAAAACAGCGAAGTAGGGATACAGTAGTCCAAGTTCAATTTCAAGTAAATGTTATTGTCATTACCATCTCATGTAGTACATGAGATGGAATGAAATTATGTACACAAGCACTGTAGTAGTAGTAGTAGTAGTAGTAGTAGTAGTAGTAGTAGCAGTAGTAGTAGTTTATTTTAGTATTTATATACAGTATATATTAAGGCTTTAGAAACCCTTCCCACACTCTTGCAATGTTCTAAACTCTTAAACCTACGTCATTTTAACAACATACATTACTAAATTTTACTTACTAGCTCTGCAGAACTCTTGGTCTGGTCCATCTCTGTTCTATTCCAACTCGGTTCGTTTCTGCAGACCTATCCTGCAGCAATGAAGCCCACAATCAGTCCTCTAAACTCTTAAACCTACTCATTTTAACAACAAGCTACATATAAGTATATATAGCTACTAAATTGTACTTACCAGGCTCTGCAGAACAGGATCAGCTCAGTTCTGGTCTGACACGATACATGAAAAAAGTCCCGGTGCAGCATGACTGAAGCCCATCGCTCCATCCAGCTTGATGTGTACGTGCTGCTGCTCCAGGAGCAAGGCTGCCCAGGATTTAGTACACCACCTCTGGCCCAGTCCTGACCAGCACTGCACTACCAGAACCAGGCTAAACCCCGCAGCCATCTGTCGTGTGCAGCTCCCAGGATCCGGATCACACTGAGTCCAGATCAACTGCAGCCCAGCTACTCAGCAGTGAGGATACAACTCGAAGGATGAGTTCAGCTCCAGAATTATTTGTGACATTCCTGTCAGCCCTGTGAGCTGATTCTGACAGAACTTCTGACATTTCTGCAAAACTTTCCTTCCATTTGCAGAAAGCAGCGGTTGGAAGCAGTGTTGACTAAGTGAACGGATGGCTTCTGGGTAACGTAGTTCTTTAGACTGGCAAAACAGTGAAGGCTTAATGAAAGAAAACTACAAAATGGCAGCACATTTTTTTATTTTATTCTTTGAAGATATTATGTACAGTAATGTTTGTCCACAAACCGCGATATAGCGAGTCTGGGAAAATTGAAGTGCGAGGGACTACTGTAGTCAACTAGAAAAGCAGAGTTTGGTGGACCGCTGACCTGTAGCTACAGCTTTTGTCTTTTCTTTGCCCGTCACTGTAAACCAGCCATCTAATACAAGAAGCACTGCAAAAAGTTCTTAAAGTTGGGGGTTAAACAGTTTGATCCCAGCCCAAGCTGACAGATTTTTTCCATTATTTGTGAACGAGTGGATTCTTTTGTTGTAGTTTTCATTTTCTGTGCCACAAAGCAGATGCTAAAATAAACTACATAAAGGTTTTTAGAAGTGAGATGTAGTAATTTTTAAACAGGATGCTTAAGTTTATCTCATCAAAACTCTGATCCAGCATGATGCTGTATGAGACTAATGACATGAAGCCATTGATCTTCTTCAGTGCTTTCTATGACGGTTCAGTTAATAAATCACTGCTGGTTTTGCATGGACCTTGTAGATCAGTCAGCAGCAGTCCATCAAAGAGATTCAATCTGAACACAACACCTTGAACACACTGCTGAAGTGAATCAGAGGAGAGTAAATCAGAATATGGTACTTTTTTCTGCAGGTGAAAAAAAATTAATACACTAGTTTGTTTTGTGTTTGTCGGCTGTGAACTTCTCCCCTTTACCTTCTAAAATGATCCAGAATGTGATTAACCTCCTGTCTCCTGACAAATCTAGCAGGTCTATCTGCTCTTGTTCCCTCCATATACTGAAAACCCACCCCCACCCCACCCACCCATTTTACTGCTAAACTTTGTGAGCATTAATGAGAATTCCTAAACTCAGCTACCTTCCAGCTTCTAAAACCTGTGGCCACAGCTTCTTTTCCTACAAACACTGTTGCAAAATTACAGACATGTTTATTGAAACACAGCAGCACTGTAGTTTTTTTATTTTAATTTTATAGTGCTATGGCACACCAATATACCGGTATGCTAAAACTGGCATGGTCTATAATGCTCATATTCATGTCTCTGGTACTGTTAAAATATGGCTCATTTAAAAACAGTTTCTTTTCCAACAGAGTTACACAGTCTGAGTTTTTAGTATTTACTCCTCTGTGTTTTTGCCCTTTCTGTTTCTTTCAGATACAAGTCGAGCTAAGAAGACCTATGAGACAGAAGGTGTGGAGTATCACTTCATCTCCAAACACCTATTTGCAGCTGAAATTCATAACAACAAGTAAGTACATGTGTGATGGGCTTGAGAAAAAAAAAAAAAAAAAAAGATGATAACAAAGGGAAAAAAGTCTCAAAATATGAATGTGGACGTTTCTAATACAAAACAGGAACCAGCATCAGGAAGTGTACTTTGTAGCTGATTGATTGACTACAAAACAAAGTATTATTTGGCTAAGCAAAGAGCAATGACACCTAATGTTAGTGTACAAGTATGAATAGGCTAAATCAGATCATATGTACGACAAAAGCCTGGAGAGTGAGAAACTAATAACATTGAGAGCTGTTTTAGGAGAATGGTTAACAATGTAACAATAGAAAACACATATATTCACAATTTCAAAGGGATAAAGACAAAATGTGCACACTTTCACAATAAAATAAAAAATAAAAAAACGAAATTTAGAACTGGGTCTTTAAATGTTTCATGTTCTCCAGTTTGCTGGTGAAGATTCTCAGTCATCCAGAACATGATAAATTCAAAAAACGTTCAATACAAAAACAACTGGACCTGAACCCCTCACTCTCTGCTCTTTGAATTGAGAAAGCTCCTCGGATGAGGAGCGAAACGTCTTCTGTTACAAATAAAGTCCAGTTGTTTTTGTATTGAATGTTTTTTTGAAGTTGTCCAGTTCAACCTCTGAATAGTGGGTAAGTGAAAGAGCCTGTCCACAGATATGCGTCTAAAGTGCAGTCTGACCCAAGCTCGGGGCATAGAGGAAAACTGGTTCTGTAAGGATGGTATCCCTTTGTTAGTCTCCCTGTGTCTGTACTCCCTAATGTCTCTCTGTAATTACCCCGATCAGCTCCACCCACGTGTTCTCCGGGTGTTTGTAATTTGTCTTGTCTAGTCTGTGTGTATATAAGCCCTGGTCTGTGTCTAGGCCTTTGTCGGTGCATCGTCTGTTACAGCTCCTGGTTTGTCTCCTGTGTTCCGTGTATAATCCTGACCTGATCCTGTCTGTGAGTTTTGCTGCCACGTCAGCTATTTATTTTGATTATTAAAGTGATTATTATTTTACAACCTCACCTCCGAGTTCTGCATGCTCAAATGGGTTCATCCCTGCTCAGCTCCGTCTGAAAACCGTGAGAGTATGCACTGACCAGACCAGAACCCAACAAGCAGAATGTTCTCAGCTTCACTCACCTGTCTGCATGAGCCAACGCAGATGGTTGAGCCCGTGATCTGATGCAGCGGGTTCTGGACCGAACCCGTCCAGACTCCTGAACACTACAGACAGGCAGTGGAGATCCTGCCCTCGCCTCTTCTCGTGCTGGAGGAGGAAATAAAGCGTTTCCAGCTCCGGGTGAACTGCCTGACATGTGAGCCCAGTTCCCCCTCCTCTCCAGCACCACTCATCTCCTCGGGGTGGACGTCCGGGGAGGACGCTGAAACGGAGAACGAACTCTGTATTGTTCCTGCGTCCCATCGCCAACTCCGCCGTCAGAGTGGCAGAAAGAGGACCCGGAAGCAGTCCACCATACCTCTGTCAGTTCCTCCGATCCCAGCGCTTCAGTGTGGACGGGTCCCATTGTCTTACCTCACAGGGTTCTGATGAGGGCAGAGACCAAAACCTTACTGTCACTCGAAGCCGCTCCTGCTTGGTTCGGCAAGACTGAGCCTCCTGAATTCAGTCTCAGTGTCTTCGCAGGGGCGGGTCCCATCGCCTCACCTCCCAGGGTTCCGGTGAAGGTGGAATCAGTCACCTCACCCCTCCATAGAGCTTAACTAAAGACTGGAACCAACACTCCCCAGCTCCAACCCAGTGACCTCACCCAAATAAACCAGATTCTACTAAATTGACTCTCCTCTGCTAAACACGACCCGGACTACCTTGACACTGTGCTCTCCCTTGCCGAGAAACTATTATTATCTCAACCCAGTCTAACACAAATCCCAGAATATCGGCAGCCCTTAATTGAAATAAGAACTTTGAAAAAACAGCCAGACTCTGAACAATCTCAAACAGCCTCTGACATCCCTGCTTCTAATTCCGTTCCAGCCTCAGATCCAGACCCTCCTTTTCCTGACTCTGCCCAGACTCCCCTGCTGCTGAGCCAGATGCCCCTGCTTCAGAGACAGTCCCTGGCCGCCCAGCTGCAGAACAAGTCCCTGGCTCTCCCCGGCTGCAGAGTCAATTTCCGAGGGAGGCCCTGAGCCCAAGGAGGAGCTCCGGCCCGATCTTGGCCCTGGACCACGCCGTCGCCGCCACGGCAGGAGTTGACGGCAGAAAGGTTTCAGGGACTCGTCCCCTGCTCCAGCGCCTGACTCGGTCCATGTCCTAGCACCTGACTCGGCCCCTGTCCCAGCGCCTGACTCGGCCCCTGTCCCAATGCCTGACTCAGCCCCTGTCCCAGTGCATGACTCAGCACTAGCACCCGAAGACCCTGCTGCCGAAGACCCTGCCACCGAAGGTCCTACCGCCGAAGGCCCTGCTGAGCTCCTCGCAGCTGACCTGCCTGCCAAGCTCCTCGCCGCTGACGTGCCTGCTGAGGTCTTTGCTCCTGGTCTGCCCGCTGAGGTCTTTGCTCCTGGTCTGCCTGCTGAAGTCCTCACTCCTGGTCCACTCACTGAGGTCCTCGCTCCTGGTCCGCCCGCTGAGGTCCTCGCTCCTGGTCTGCCCACTGAGGTCCATCTGCAGAGGGTCCCAGGTCTGCCAATGCTTCAATGTCCGCAGGGGGTCCTAGGTCCGCCGACGCTTTGACATCTACAGAGGGTCCCAGGTCCGCCGATGCTTCAACGTCTGCAAAGGGTCCCAGGTCTGCCAATGCTTTGATGTCTACTGAGGGTCTCAAGACTGCCGACGCCTCTACATCTACTGAGGGTCCCATGCCAGCTGACGCCTCTACATCTACAGAAGGTCCTAAGCCAGCTGTGCCTCCAGAGGATCCTACACCAACTGCACGCCCAGATTCAAATTCCACATCTCCGAGTTCCACGTCTCCAACTTCTTCGTGCTCCATGTCAGATCCTGATCCTGCCGCAGAAGATCCTGTCTCAGAAGATCATTCTACAGAAGATCTGAGTCCCACGTCTCTGGGTCCCATGTCTCCGAGTTCCACGTCTCCAAGATCCACACCCTCTGCTACAGTTGCAGAGATGGCTACACCCCCTGCTGCAGTCCCAGAAGTGGCCACATCTCCTACAGCAACCCCAGAAGTGGCCACGCCTCCTGCTGCAGTGCCAGAAGCGGCCACACCTCCTGCTGCAGCCCCAGAAAAAGCCATGCCTCCTGCTGCAGCCCCAGAAGTGGCCACACCTCCTCCTGTTATGCCTGAGACCTCTATGTCACCTGCAGTCTCAATAAAAGTTGTAGTCTCCATGGGCTCATCACTTTTTACAGATCTTCTAGCCTCTGTGACAGCTGTGGTCCCCACACCAGAACCTATGGTCCCTCTAGTCCTCTTTCCTTGAGCAGGGCGGTCATGGTCTCTTAGGGTATCCATCACTGTTGAGTTTTGGTTCTGTCTCTGTCTGTTTCCTCATGTTTCCAGCCCTCAGTGTTTTCCCTTGTGTTCAAGCCCCATCTCACCTGTGTCTAATGTTAATCACAGCAGGTGTCTGTCATTGTCCTAATTAGTGTGTGTATATATTCAGTTCACTGGTGTCTTGTTTTGGCTCTGGATTTTCCTTATTGTGTGTTTCTGCCTTCCATCCTGTGTCTTGTTATCAGTAAGTAGCTGCCCCGTCAGCCTTTGCTTTGTTTTTGTATAATAAATATTTTGATTTTCCACGAGCCTCCTGTCATCCTCCTGCAATTGGGTTCAACACTCCTGACAGCAGAACGCGACAGAATCCCGAGACCAACTTTGAACCCAGCAGGAAGATGATAAACTTGTTTGAGTTTCTGGCCCGTGAGGTGGATAAGACCACTCAATGAGACATGGAGAAGGAGGAGAGGAGGAAGAATCCGTTTTGGGGGACCTGCCTCACAGCCTCTCCATCCCTCTCTGCCTCGCTGCTGCACCCCGCTGCCCACCTCCTCCTCGCTCTTCACCTGGCTGTCCCAAGCAATCGTCAGAGAGAAGGGCGGCAAACCGCTGGTCCTCCCCGAACCCAGCGCAAGAATGGGAGAACCACGCGAGCAGACGAAAAGCCCAGACCTCCGTTGCTAGAGGAACTGCAGAAAATTTTGCTGGGGGGGGGAGGTACCTGTGTCCATCAGAGTAGCAGCTCAGCTCTCGTTCGCTGGAGGAGCTAAGGGGGAGTTTGCGAGGGGAGAGGAACCCATGCCCCCACTTGTTGGAGGAGCAGTACAGCCCTCCCTCGCTGGAGGAGCTGGAACGGTGGCAGATTTCTATAGTGGCAACATGTCTGGCTCCGTTTCTGTCCTGCCGTGAGGAGACCCAGGTGGATGCTCCTTACTCGTGTCTTCCAGAGGGGTTCATGGCTCCACCACCTGCTGCAGTTCTGACTCCTCCACCACCTGCTGCTGCAGCTCTGAATCCTCCACCACCTGCTACTGCAGCTCTGACTCCTCCACCACCTGCTGCATCTCTGGCCCCCAGTTCTCCTGCTGCAGTCCTGACTCCAGGCTCTCCCACTGCAGCTCTGGTCCCCGGTTCTCCCACTGCAGCCCTGGTCCCTGACTCACCTGCTGCAGCTCTGGTCCCTGGTTCACCTGCTGCAGCCCTGGTCCCTGGTTCCCCAGCTGTGCCCCGTCTTCGGTCCCTGGCTCCCCAGCTGCAGTCCTGTCTCTGGTCCCTGGTTCTCCAGCTGCAGCCCCATCTCTGGTCCCTGGTTCTCCAGCTGCAGCCCCATCTCTGGTCCCTGGTTCCCCAGTTGCAGTCCCTGGTTCTCCAGCTGCAGCCCTGGTCCCTGGTTCTCCAGTTGCAGCCCCATCTCTGGTTCCCATTCCTGGTTCTCCAGCTGTAGTTCTGGTCCCTGACTCTCCTGCTGCAGCCCTGACTCTACCACCACCACCTACTGCAGCCCTGACTCCACCACCACCATCTGCTGCAGATCTGGTTCCTGGCTCTTCTGCTGAGATCCACTCTACCGCA